TAATTGTAAATAATAAATTAAGTTTAAAAAAATAATAATAATAAATAATAAAAAAAATAAAATAAATAAAATGGAAAATAAACTTGTTGGAAATAAAAGTTTCGTGAAAAATGAAGAAACGTTTTAGGAAGGGAACGATTAGGTGTGTAAAAATGAGAGGAGGACAAGGAGAGAGAAAAATGGAGTTATAATTTGTGTAGCGAAGTAGCAATTTAGTGAGAGAGGAGAGTTCTATATTATACTATAGTAACAAAATTCGCTTTAAATCTCAGGTCCCCCCCGTCCCCCCCTCTTTAATCGAGTAGCAGGTTCGTTTTCTTTACTGGCTTTTCTTCCTTTTCTTCAATCTTTTTTTTCTCTTCTTTTTTTTTTGCTTTTTTATTTGACCCTTACCTTCTTTTCGCCACTTTCTTCAGCAATTTATGTCCGCCGACATTGCAGAGAACTTTTGCCATCAGAACCTTCACTTCTCGCCCTCTATTTTTCCATCTCTCTTTACATTATATGGGTTATATTCATCTTTTCTCTTTCCTCTTTCTTTTTTCTTTTACCTATAAGTATTTGTCACATTTCCTCTCCTCTCTCTCTCACTTTTTCTTTTTCTTTACTTTTTTCTCCAGCATTTCAATTTTTTTCCCTCTGTTTTTCTTCATTTTTTTTTCACCTATTTTCTTGGACTTTTTTTCTTTGGTATTTTATTTTTTCTTTTGGTTTTTTGGTTTTTTTTATATTCTATTTGAAATTTGGTGATTTTATCCTTTCTTTATTGTTAAAATTATAATATTTAGAAAGTAGGAGAAAAGAATTGTATTTTAATCATTATTATTTTTTTTAATTATAGACAGAACGTTTTTTTTATTTATTTATGTAGTTTATTATTATGTGAAAAATAAATATTTACTTGCAACAAATCATTTTTATTTGCTGCGAATAACATATATTTTATTTGATTTATTTATCGATTTTTTTCAAAATCGATTATATTTTTTTTTTTATTTAAGGGCATTTGAACCTTGATGACGTCACACATGCTTTGCACAATCTGTAACGTCATCAAGGTTCAAATGCCCTTAAAGGAAATGAAATATTTTAAAGTATTTTTTAAAAATTAAAAAATTTCGAAATCAATTTTTGATTTTAATTATTTTTCTTTAGTAATTAATTAATTTTCGAAAATTAGAGAGAAATGACATTGAACACACAATGCGAGAAATTTTTATTTTTTTTTTTCGGTGGAAAAAGGAAGTAATTTGTTGTAATTGCGACAATTTAATGATGTCAGTAAATAAAGATTCGTTCGTATATAATTCGCAATTGGCTAAAGCTGATCAATTGAGGGTTGCGAGGTCGTTTTCAATTTGTCCCTGGGCTCGAGAAGCTGCTCCTATTTATCTTTATTTTCCTATAAGGATCTCACTCACACACTCTTAAAACTTATAATAGGCCTTTTTTTGCTTCCGACTTTTATCAGTAACCTGGCACACGTGACGCAACATCGATTCTCCACCAAATTAAACTCCTGAGATGATGATATTGAGAGTCAATCTTCTCCCTCATTTTTTGCACTTCCGGAATATTAAAATATACACAAAACCCTATATATACATAATAGACAATATATACGGATTTTTATTTTTTATACGCTCGTGAGATTTTTTTTCAAATATTATTTTCATGAGATTTTTAAAGTCTTTTTTAATTTTGAAAAATAATAACAAAAAATTAGAATCGCTTGAAAAATTGAAAAGAAATTGATTAAAATAAAATTAAAATAATTTACTCTCTAAATTTGAATTAGTAAAAATGATTACTAATAAAATAATAATTTACTCTCTAAATTAGAATTAATAAAAATGTTTACCTACTAATAAAAAAATAATTTAGTCTCTAAATTTGAATTAGTAAAAATTTGTAGTCATAAAAAAAATAATTTACTCTCTAAATTTAAATTAGTAAAAATTTTTAGTAATAACAAAATAATTTACTCTCTAAATTTCAATTAGTAAAAATGATTACTAATAAAAAAATAATTTACTCTCTAAATTAGAATTAATAAAAATGTTTATTAATAAAAAAATAATGTAGTCTCTAAATTGGAATTAGTAAAAATTTTTAGTAATAAAAAAAATAATTTACTTTCTAAATTTGAATTAGTAAAAATTTTTAGTAAGAAAAAAATAAGTTACTCTCTAAATTTGAATTAGTAAGCATTTTTACTAATAAAAAAAAATTTACTCTCTAAATTTGAATTGGTAAAAATGTTTACTGATTAGAATTAAGACAGTCAATTATAGTGACTGTTTTTTAGCTTTTGAATCAGTAAATTTTACTAATATATAATAATTTTTACTAATTTGAAAGCAAAAAGTCAGAATTAGTAAATTTTACTAATTTATTATTAGTAAAATTTACTAATTCGAAAGCAAAAAGTGAGTCACTATAATTCTAATTAGTAAACATTTTTGACTAATTAAAATTTCGAGAGTAAATTATTTTAATTTAATTTTAATATTTTTTTGTTAATTTTCCCTTAGTATTGATTGACATTGTATTGACTGACAGGAAAGAAAAACTGAATAAAATAATAATTTGGAAATAAAATTACAATAATTTACGCCGCAGCGGAAAATAAAAATAAAATTACAATAAAAATTTTTCTTTTGCGCCGAATATTTTATTGGAAATAGATATAATATATTCACTTGGACAAAGATAAATGCTTTATCTAGTTTTGCTGAAATCGAGTCTTCTTGATGTCAGACGTCTATGATTGATTGTTTCAAGAAAGGAGTTTTTCTTCTCCAATCCAAGTGCTTTTTTTTAAAAACGAAAAAAAAACTTCCAATTTAAAAGCAAAAGAGAAATTAAAAAATTCAATTCAGCTCATAAATTTTTATTTGAAAAAGTCTTCTTTTTTTCATTCGCCTCAATTTTTGCAAAATCATAAACAAAATTTGCAGAAATGATTTTATAAAATAATTACAGTTTCAAAATTGGATAAAAGAGATACAATATAATAATTTTTATATATAAAAATAAAAGAGGGACAGTATTTGAAATAAATTTTTTAAGAGAACATTCCATTTTCTTCCATTGAATTCAGGAGCATTAAAAGGTTCCTGCTCATAACAAGGTTTTAGAAAAAGTCAAAGACCCTTTTTCAAGGAAAATCTTTCTAACTAAACTCTTTTACTTTCAAGATAAGCTTTTTTTCTCCTCTTCTTTCTTCATCCTATCTTTGACGGTCTCTAATATAAATTTTCTTTTATAAAGGAATATTAAATCAGTCTTTGCGAATTTCTAAGAACACAAAGGACTTGTGATTAAAAATGTAAATATTAACCTGTAATCAATATCTTCCTTTGCCTTTTATTATTTTATGTAGAAAAAAAAACAAGAAATTTTTTTCTCTAAATTAATAAAAATTGTTTAACTTTTTTTTTCTTGAAAAAAGCGAAAAATTCTATGGAAAAAAATGAGCAAAGAAAATTAATTGTTGTAAATTTTTAAACGTTCGAATGAAGGACTATTTTATTGTTAGTCTTCTTTAATTTTTATTTTATTCGCCGGAAAAGATTTTTTTTATTTTAACAAATTTATTTCTAACTAGGAAAATATTTAATTTACATTATTTTTTATTTCAGTTTAATATTTTTTAAAATAGAAAAAAATAAATAGAAACATTTCTTACATTTCAACGTTTAAAATTTTAGGGAAATGTTTTGAATTTAAAAATTAATATATTAATAACAATCATTGAATTCTAGCGAAGAATTTTATTGAAATCTATATGAAAATAATTTAATTTCTTCGAAGAATTTTATTCAAATTATTGGAAATAATTCAATTCTTTAGAGAATTTACTTAATGTAAATTAAAAATTATTATTTATGGAAATAATTGAATTCTTGAGAAGAATTTTATTCAAATTTTTGAAAATAATTCAATTGTTTTTGAAGAATTTCTTTGAATTTTCTGAAAATAATGGAGACTTTTTAAATAATTTTAATTAAAAATTTTGAAAGTAATTAATAAAATTTCATAAAGAATTTATTTCAAGTTTCTAAATCGTGTTTGTTAATAAGTTTAATTAAACATTTTGATTATACAATGAGTTATATTAAAATTTTTAGAAAATAATAAATTAAATTCTTTTCAGAATTTTATAACAATTTCTTAAAATAATTGAATTCATTCAAGGAATTTTATTAAAATATATTTAAAATAATTGAATTCTTTTAAGGAATTTTTAAAAGTTTTTGAATTCAATCGATTTTGTTTAATAAACTTGAAATTAATAATTATTTTATTGTTAAATTTTATTAACAATTTTTGTTATATTAAAAATTTGATTATTGAATTTTATTAAAATTGTTTTGAAAATAATTGAATTCTTTCGAGAAATTTTATCGAAAATTGTAATGAAAATAATTGAATTCATGCGAAGAAATTTACCTATTATATAATCTTTTTGAAAATAATTCAATTCTTATAAAATATTTTATTGAAACATTTGAGAATAATTGAATTCTTGAAATAAAATTCTATTTATTTTTAAAAATAGTTGAATCTTTTCGAGAAATTTTATTAAAATTGTATTAAAAATAGAATTTTCCGATTTTTACTTATGAAAATAATTGAATTGTTTCAAAGAATTTTATTTAAATTAAAAAAAATACTTGAATTCTTTCGTCCAAAAATTTTTAAAAATAATCCTTTCGTGAATTTTTATTAAAATTGTATTGAAAATAATTGAATTCCTGCGAATAATTATTGAATACTTCTGAAGAAGTTCATTAAGTATAAAAAAATTAAAAGTCGCGTTAGTCCGAGGCCGGAATAATAATAATAATAATAAAATAATAATAATATTCATTCCGTAAAAATAAAAGATGAATGTAAACAGATTTGTTGTCAATAATTCTCTCAGCTTCATGGCGTTTTTTTCTTTCTTCTTCTTCTGTTCTGTTTTTTTTTTTTTTTTTTTTTTTTTTAACCAGGGGAAAATTTAATTACGATCTCGTTAAATCGCGATGGGGACTAGGTCTGATTAAAACAGCAAACGAAAGTCGTCCTCCCACGATGCGAGAAAAATCGTCCCCGACGAATACATTGGGACAACACGCCATCGACGTTGTTGATGTCGAGTTCAATTTTCCCTGGACCAATGTTGAAATAATTTAAATGTAAATAAGTATCGGCATTGATTTTATGTCTTCGCCAAATAAATCAAGTCTCACTGATGGATCGTTGTTCCAATATAGTGTGTGAATAAATAATTTGTCTGTTACAGAAGAATATAATTATAAATATAGAAAAAACTTACCTGTCAGTACATCAAGTTCTGAGAATGTGCGTGAAAATAAATTCCAAGTAGGCGAAAACCAATTATTAATTCTATTAATTAAATTTTCCAATTCAAACAAATATTATAAAAAACAAATATAATACAAAAATTAAAATAGTAAAAAATAAATATATACAAAAATAGAAGAAGATTGAAAATTATTTGACTCGAATAGAAATTGTTTTACATCTAATAGAATAAAATGTATAAATAATAAAAAATAAATTCAAACAGACATATAATAAAAAACAACCTAGAAAATAACTATACAAAAATAAAAATAATAAAAAATTAACTATATTAATCTTCATATACTTTCATTCATTTTTGAATTCATTTTTTCATTTTTTCATTGAAAATGAAAATTTTTGATTTTTTTGAAAAGGAAAAAATTTTACTCAAAAAAATGTTCTGTTACATTTATTCACAATTTTCTTTAATTGCAAAATTATTCAAAAACATCAATAAATTATTTTTTAAATAAATTGTTTTTTAAACAAAAAATGAAGAAATCGATCACTCCGAGTCTTCGACTCGGAGCAATCGATTTCTTCATTTTTTATAATAATTCAAGATGTTCGAAAGATAAAATAATTATTTTGTATTATAAAAATATTCTTATTGTAACTTCTTCAAAATTATTTTCATATTCAATTATTATCTAAAATTTTAACTAAAATATATTTTTAAATTAATTTTTATTAGAAAATTCTACGAGAATTCAATTATTTAAATACAAAAGTAAATAATTTATTGAAGAATTGAATGTTTTTTAAAATTGAACTCTCATTTAAAGAATTTTATCAACAAATTTTTATATAGATAATTAAAATTTTTTTGAAGAAATTCAATAAAATTTTTAAGAATAATTTCATTTTTCGAGAAATTAGATTAAAATTGTATTGAAAATAATTAAAATTCTGCGATGAGTTTTATTATTTATGAAAGTAATTTAATTGTTAAGAAGAAACTTATAAACAATAAATTTGTAAATAATTGAATTCCTGTGAAATTTTTATTATTTATGAAAATAATAAATTAAATGTTTGCGTAGAATATTATTAAGGATTTTTTAACTAAATTGAATTCTTTTAGGAATTTTTAATAAAGTAGTAGATATTAAAAATCATTAAATTGAGGAAAGTTTTTGAAAATGATTAAAATTTTTGAAAATAATTGAATTTTTGCGAAGAATTATATTACTTTTGAAAATAATTTAACTCTTTAAAAAAAATGTAATTAAAATTGTATTTAAAATAATTGATATCTTTCGAACAATTTTATTAAAATATTTGAAGGATAATTACAATTTTTGAGTAATTTCTGTAAAATTGTATTAAAAATAATTGAAATCCTGCGATGAATTTTATTATTTATGAAAATAATTGAATAATTGCTAAGAATATTATTAAAATTTTCAAAAATAATTGATATTACTAAGAAGAATTTTATATTATTTATGAAAATAATATAATTGAATTATTGGGAAAAATTTTATTAAAATGTTTTAAAATATAATTGAATTTCAGTGAGAAATTTTGTAATTTTTAGAAAATAATTGAATTGAATTGTTGTTTTAAATTAACATTATTTTAAATAATTAATTTTTTCGAATTATAATAAATATTATGAAAGTTTTATTTTAAATAATTTAAATTCTTCGATTTTTATTACTTTTGAAAATAATTTAATTCTTTTTAGACGAATTTTATTTAAAAAATTTTTTTGAAATAATTGAATTCTTTTGTGAAATTTTATTGAAATAGTAGATATTGAAAATAAAGTAATTCTACGAAGAATTTTATTAAAATTATTTTGAAAAAAATTGAATTGTTACGCAAAGAATTCCATTAAAATTGTATTAAAAATAATTGAAATTTAGCATTGAGTTTTATTATTTATGAAAATAATTAAATGTTTGCGTTGAATTTTATTAAAAATTTTTTTAATTAATAATTGAATTCTTTTGGGAATTTTTATTAAAGTAGTAGAATTTAAAAATCAATGAAAATCAATATTTACAAATTGTTACGTTGTATTATTTTTAAAATTGCTAATTTCATTTCAAAAAGCGAGTAAAAAGTTAGCCGCGAGCGAATTGTTGCATAGTAATAAAATAAAATATAAATAATAGAAAATACGTACAAAAATAATAAAAAAATAAATATAAACATAAAAATAGAAGATCGAAACTTCTGAAGAATAACAATTTTTTTTTGAACAGATAAAGTTATAGGAAAAGGCATTTAGTTTATCATTTATATATATTGTAAATGTATTTTGTGTGCGTCTTTGATCGACTCTCGTTGAGCTTTAATAGTCGTAAATCGAAGTGATTCTTGACTCTAAATTTTCTCGTGAAATGGTTGGTATCACGACTCTTAAGTACAAGTGTTAACATTTCCTTGAGTTCGATTTCTTTAGTACAGTGTAGAGTGTAGTAGCAAGATAGCTCTTCAACTATAAGCAACATAGTGCACCTCCCGAAATTACGCCATTAATTTAACAAGCGACGTGCTTCACATTTTCTCTTGTTATAATTTCTATACAAAGTAATTACGTCAAATTATTATAATAATTATACATAGTTTATTTTCTCATGTAGGTACATTGTTATAATTCCAAAAAGTAAATCCTATTTTTAATATTTTATTACTACTATATATATAATAATAAACTGAAAAAAATTATTTGATTCAAATAACGGATTATTTGTCTATTAAATATTTATTTGACAATTTGTTAATTAATTCGAAATAAAATTAAAAAAATGAATTTAATTATTAATTAAATTGAAAAGAATTTTAATCATATTTAAATTAAAAAAAAAAGTATTTCAAGTTTCAATCTCAATTAAATTTTTGGTTCATTAAAAAATTTAAATGAATTAAATTTTAAAATTAGATCAAAAATTTTAATTTTGTCAATATTTTACGTGGGTGAAATCCACAATGTTTATAATTTAAAAATTAAGAAATCAATGAATTGAAAAATTAATTAAATTGACTAAATAAAAAAATTTAATACTATTTAAAAATATGAATAATAATAATAATTAATAATAATAAAAAAGTAATAGTATAAAAATGAATGTATATTATTATTATTATTATTATTATTATTATTATTATTTTATAGTGAATCAAATAAATAAACCCCGGTGCTATCAATTACAAAATAATAAAGAATATTTTCCAATTAAAGTATAAAACATTCAAATTGTAACATTTTGAACAATTTATTTCTAACTTTCAATTAAACGTGATTCGTTGTTACTATATATATATTCTCACACAATATATTCCGTTTTAAAACAAAAAACTATTAATTAAAAGTTCAACAAAGAAAAGTTTTAAATCATGTGTATAGAAAATAAACGCGCGTTATTGCGAAATTCAGAGTTTATATTTTTTTTGATTATTTGTACGAAAACGAAAAGAAATTTTTCAATAAAATTTTCACTGTTGTTGATTTCATTTATAAAAATGCGGAAGATGAAAAAGTTTCGATTTCCCATCACACTTTTTTCCTTTTTTTTGCGATTTAATTAAAAGCGCATATATATAAAATATCACAATCTCGTATTTATTTTCCGAAAAAAAAGAAGGAAAGAAAAAGAATTTTCTATTATTACAAAAAAAAAAAAAATAAGATGCGAGATGAGTTTATAAATTAAATTGTAAATATGTACTTGATTAATTTAAATATACATATCGTAGAAAAAAAAATGAATTTATTTACTCGATTTTCTCAATGCGAAAAAAAAATCTCAAGTTATAGAATTTCCACAAATTGTATATCTATAGAGGAAGAGAGAAAAAAAAGACTCAACTTTCACATATAAGGGATGTCCCCTGCAATCTCAACTGGACCAAATAGAAAGAAATAGTGACTCGGAACGAACTTGTTTCAAGTTTGTTCTCAAAAGATAGATACGAGCGAATCGAAGAAGAATAAATGAAAATAAACTCTATAAGCGTCGGGTTTCATTTTATTTATATAGACAATTTTTTCGCTTCGAAACATAAAATACAAATTATCTTTATTTTTCTCTCTCTCTCTCTCTCTCCTCTCTCTCTCTCTTTTATTTTCAATTAGTATCGATAATACAATTTAAAGTTTCAACAATAGAAATTTTCTCTTTTATTAAATTGTTCTGCTCTCGCTCTCTTTCTCTATATTATAGAAACACGAGAAGAAAATTCTAATGCTGTATATGCTAATTGAAACGAAAATAGGAAAAAAAAATTTTTACCTTAGAACAAACGGACGATAATATTATAGTCTCTTTGAGAAATTTAGTGAATTAAAAAAATAATAAGTGCTTTAATTAACAAAATAATTATTATTAATTAACTATATTAATCTCCGTATTCTTTCATTCATTCTGCCCGCAGTTTGACGTTACCTTCTGTGTATGCTTTTGTCTTTTTTTTCTTTAAAAAATTTGTTGGACAAATCGAATAATTTATTTATTGAATAATTGAATGTTTCTTAAAATCTAATTCTTATAAAGAATTTTATTAACGAATTTTTAAATAATTGAATTCTTTTTACGAATTTTAATAAAAAATTTTAGAATGTAGTAACATTTTTCAAGGAATTTGATTAAAATTGTATTAAAACTAATTGAAATTCTGTGATGAGTTTTATTATTTCTAAAAATAATTAAATTATTGAGAAGAAACTTATAAAAAATATGTAAATATTTGAATTCCTATGAAATTTTTATTATTTATGAAAATAATTAAATGTTTACGTACGTTTTTGAAAATAATTGAAATTTTGACAAGAATTTTATTAAAATTTTTCAAAATAATTGAATTTGGAAGAAGAATTATTTTATTTATAAATACAATAATTGGGATTTTGTCGAAATTTTTTTTTGTAAATTTTGAAGATAATTGAATTTTATTACTTTTGGAAATAATTATTGAATTTCTGCAATAATTTGTAACTTCTTCAAAATTCCATTTTTTTTTTAATGTTCTTAAGTAAAATTCTTTTATAAATACATTATTTTTAATAATTAATTAAACATTAATTGACAAATTTAACTAATTTTAGAAGATTTTGAATTATTAAAATTTTTCAAAAATTTAAGTTCATTAAAATTTCTAATTAAATTCATTCAACATTGAAATTTTATAAAATTTCAAATTGAAACCGTTTTAAGTTAATTTATTTATGAAAATTATAAACGTAACTCTTTTAAAATAGAATTGATTTTGAAATATTTAAAGTGAAATTTTATTATTCAGAATTTTCTTATGAATTCTAAAAATTTAATTTTTTTCAGTACTTTTAATAAAAATTCCTGACTTTTCCCTGAATTCTCTATGTCAGAATATATGATTATTATAATAATTATAATAATATTAAAACTATATATATTCCAATTCATATTTTATTTTCATAAAAAAAATTTGAAATAAAAATTTTTACGTTCGATAATTTTAAAAATTGCTATAATGTTATTCAAAAAAGTGAGCGAGATATCAGCTTTGTTGCTAGTGACTGTAATTAATATTGTGTTATTTTATTAAGATCATATTTTTTGATTAGTTCTTTCAATTATTTTATTAACACTTTTTTATCGCTTTTATTGGCACATTTTTAAAATTAAAATAAAAATAAAATAACTAAATTACAATAAAAATAATAATAATTAAATTAAATATTTTAAATAAAGAAGGAATTAAATTAATTAAAACAATTTTTTATTGAATAATTGAATTAAAAATTTAATTAATTAAGTGAAATGGAAATGAAATTGAATAATTGAAATGAAAATTAAATTAAATAATGGAAATATAAATGAAATTGAATAATTGATATAAAATTTAAAAATAAATAATTGAAATAATAAAAGTGAATACCTAATTAAAAGAAAAATTCAATTCAATGTATTGAAATAAAATTCAAATTAAATAATTGAAATAAATGATAATAAAAGTAAATTAGATAATTTAAAATACAAAAATTTACTATTTTTTTATCAATTTTGCAAAAAATGTGATTTTTTCTGTATTTTATTTGAATTTTCCTAATTAAACAAAGTAGAAAAGCATTAAAAGCAAAAAAAATAAAAGAGGATAAAAAAATGTGTTGCATGTATAATTTTTGAAATTTCACCCAGTGTTATTCCACTGTGAAAGCTTAGAATATCAATCTTGGGGAAATTTTAATGGCGAGTGGTCAGGGCAAAGCCTCTGTGGTTCAAATCAAGATCACCGGAACGAATAGCCTCGTTAATTTAAAGCTCAGTAAAGGTTATATTATCACCGTCGTATTCTCTCTCTCTCTCTCTCTCTCTCTCTCTCTCTCTCTCTCTCTCTCTCTCTCTCTCTCTCTCTCTCTCTCTCACTCTCTCTCCTATCTCTTCTCTCCTCAATTTTGAAGCACAGAGAGGAAGAGACATTTCACGTATAAAATTATAAAAATGTCGGTCGTGTTTCGGAAACTTTAAATTGCCGGGCTATTATTCCGGACGAAGTAGACGAACCGACCGAAAGTTTCTCGATAAATCATCGAGTGTTGGCTTGAGAAACGTTAAAAGTGGGCTGACTTCAGTATAAAAGTAAAAAAGAAGAGTTTGGGGAGAGTTGTGAAACTAATAAATATTAATATCAGGCTGGTTACTTTTAATCGATCTCGGATTTTTACCACTTGGCGAAGAGAGTCCTCTGTCAACATTATAGAAAAAGGAAAAAAAAAGAAGGGAAGAAAAGAAAAGTTCAAACTCCTTTCAAAATATGAAAGAGATTAAAAATTTCTTTTTAAAGACGCGAGACAGGAAAATAAAATTTCGTATTCAAATAAATAACAATTTTTATTAATTTTTTGTTATTTAATTATTATTATTATTATTTTTATAAGAGTATAAAGTACAGAATTTATTTCTCTATTGTATAAATTCCAAACAGGAAGTTTTTATTTGAATATTATTTTTTTTTATTTACTATTAATAACAATTTAATAAAAATTACAATCGTCGGGACTCGAACCAAAACCGTTGGCGTGACAGTCAAGACTCTTAGACGCACGGCCAAACTATACTTTGTTTTTAAAAGATTTAAAGTGTTCTTTACACATTTAATTTTATACTTTTCATGAAATTTTCCTATTAATTAATATTTATTGAAAATCGAAAAAAGCTTTTACTGAATTTACTTTGAAATACTAAATTCTTGGCAAGAATTAAATTATTTTTATAAATAATAAAATTCTTCTCAGGAATTCAATTATTTTCAAAAACAATTTTAATAAAATTCTTCGAAAGAATTCTAAAATCTCTATAAATTAAATTCTAAAGAATTGAATTATTTTTGTAATTGTAAAATAATTCGCAAGTTCTCAAATATTTTCATAAATAAAAACATTTTACGGGAGAATTCAATTATTTTTATAAATATTAAATTTTTTCTCAGAAATTCAATTATTTTCAATAAAATTTTATATACTGAATATACTAAATAAATAAATAAATGAAATTTGAGAATAAAATTTTTATTTATAATTATTATTAACAGATGCGATTTTTTAACAAATTGAAAAAAATTCTTTGTTTAATTCAATTATTTTCAGAATTTTTAATTAAAATTATTTCAAAAAACTACATTACTTTCAAAAAGCATAAAAAGAAACTCTTCATAATTTAATTATTTACAAAAACTCTAATAAAGTTGTTTAAAAAAATTTAATTTCCTATCAATAATTTTATAATAAAATTTAATAAAATTTAATAATAAAATTATTAATTAGAATTATTAACAAAATCAATTATATACAAAAAGTTCAAGAAATTTCTTAAAAGAATTCAAATATTGTCAAAACCTTTAATAAATTCTTCGAAACAATTCAATTATTTTCAATATTTTAATAAAATTCCTTGAATGAATTAAATTATTTTAAAAAATAGTAATACAATATTCTGAGAAGCATTTAATTATATTTTTCGAAAATTTTAATAAAATACTTTGCAAGAATTCAATGATTTTCAATAATCGGGACTCGAACACAAACTTCATGAAATTTCTCTTTTAATTGTTGAAAAAAATTTTAAATCACCTTTTATTGAATATTTTTTCTGTATAATTGTAAACATTATATATTCATTATTAGTTTTTATTATATTTTATCCTCTTTATGGCATTTTAACTCTAGAAATCACAAAAATAACCCACATTTTTTACCATATAGTCTCTTTCTTAGCTTATTTCTTCTAACCAAAAATCAATATTCTAAGAAAAAATTGTATTAAAAAGTTTTCTGATAAAAATCATTTATCACCTTATTTAAAAGAATAATTTTTTTGGAAACAATACACATTTAATCGAAAGAATAAATATTTTTGAAACAATATATTTTTTTTGGAACAATATATTTTTTCTTGAAATAGAATAAATTTATTGTTTTTTTTAAACAATACACATTATGAAAGAATAAATGTTTTTGAAACAATATTTTTTTCTTGAATCAACAAATTTTTTTTTAAACAATACACATTTTATTATTGAAACACAATATGTATTTTTTTGGAACAATATATTTTAAAATAATACCTACATTTCTTTTGAAGGAATAAAATTTTTTAAAATACATTTGTTTTTGAAACAATATATTTTCCTTTAAAGAACATTTTTTTTTAAAGAATATAAAATTTTCTCGCTGCGAATTTCTTTTAATTAATTTATTTAATATTTTTTTTGTTTTTTTTTTCTGAAACAAAAAGTAAATGACGGAAAACATGTAAATTTTGAAATTATCGAAAATTTCCAAATGAACGACTTTAAATACCTTCCTTTAATTTTAATGTGTTCTAAAATACTTGGCAGACTTGTTATTCATAATATACAGCAAATGCCATGCACCAAGCATGTATGTGAATATTTTCATAGACGTAATAAGAGTAATTATCACGCTCGCTGTCACAAAGACACCCCAATCCGACATTAATGCCTTGAAAAGCATTCTGCACCACGCTCGCTTGTACGACGAGTTTGCATCTGTTAAAAAAAAAGGTGAAAAAAATAACGAAAGCAAAAAAAAAGGAAAAAAAAAATGGAAACCAGTTATTGTGAGGCATAAAATTTTTCTATTATTCTTCGGAATAAATGAAACTTCCACTTTTCTATATATATATAGCCGTTATAGGTCATTTATTCACGCTCATTATCCCTTTTGAATTTTCTTTAACACATTTTTTTTGTGCACTGAATATTTTGTGAAATTAGTTTTGAATACTCTTTAATTTTTTCACGTGGCTCGTTATACTCGTTGGGAAAATTATTTATTTTTTTTTTAACATTTTACTTTTTAATGTTGATAGAATTTCGTTTACAAAATATTTTAGTACTTGCAAAATTGTTAAATGTGGGAATAAAAAATTTGCGTGCATTATTTTAAATATATAAAGGGGAATTGTAACAATTTTTTAAAATAATTTTTCTTCCATTTTTTTGTGGAAAAAAGATTAGGGTAGAGTGGGGTGAAAAAGCCATGGTGTTAAAAAGCCATTTGAGTTTTATTTAAAAACTATTAAGCCGATTTATCAGCTGTTTAGAATATAAATACTATTAGGTAATACGCAACTTTTGAATCTAGTTTGAATGTTGTACCTAGATTAATATTGTTTTTATTGTAATTTTAATTTTTTGTTGCTTTTTTGAAAACATTTTGGTGAACTTTTCAAACATATTACAATTTGATTAAGTGAACGAATAATAAAAGTAAATGTTTGTACATAAGGAGAAAAGTATACCGAAAACGTATACAATGTTAATTTTTGGAAATTGAACTGAATTAACAATTTATTTTTGCTTTTTTTAATAACTGGTCTTGGGTGTAAAAAAGCCAGGGCAAAAAATCCATTGAATATTTTGTGAAATTCACTTGTTTTCTATTTAAACTAACCTTCTTATTTTACAAAATTTCTCGTGTTTATTTAATAAAATAAATTAAACACGACGAAAAAGTAGTTCAAAGTGCATTAAAAAAATAAACAATGAATAAACGGTTGCAACGAAATATGTTATCTGTGGTGAAACTTAAAGAGAACTTCTAAAAAAGGTACGAAAAATTGGCAGTGCAAATCGAAAACAGGTAAACTTAATATAATTTTCAATTTTGCTTGCTAAAAACTCTTTCATAATTATTAAAATATTTTTCAAATAAGACTATTTGTCATATAAATAAAGGGAAACTATAAAAATACCTAAATTGATAACGTGTTTTGCTAAAATCGTAGGGTGGCTTTTTCACCCCACCAGGTGGTGCAAAAAAGCCACTTACAGTGCTTTCGTAAAACTCTTATAACTTAGTCCTTTCATGAGATAAAAAATATTTCCGTCAAGAATTTTCAAGCTTAATAACTAAACTTTCAATAACAATTGGAAATTTGAGAAAAAAATTTTAAGTACATATTTGACAGCATCAAAAGTAAAAATGTGGCTTTTTTACCCCACTCTACCCTATATTAAAAAAAGAAATTAAATTAATTATAAATATTTCTGTTAATTATAAATATTTATATTATATAATTATTATAAACATAAATAAAATTACATTTTTTTAATCTAATTTCATTGAATCGTCAGTTTTTCTAGATATATTATTATTTATTAGGAAGATAAATATTATTACCTATCGTAATCTCGTTTTATAAGAGCTCTCAATACATCATTAATTATGTCTGTAATTAATTTTTCAACTTCCGTGGGATCATATGCCGTTAGAGACGATAATTTTTTATCCATTACATTTTTTATTATGAAATCAGCCACTTCCGGATTGAATCGATTATATGGTACTAAACGATAGCTGTTCTGATATCTTGGTATCTGTAAAATTTAATTACACCTCAAACTTTTTCTTTTTTCATCTGTGTTTTGCAAAAGAATTTAAAATTTTTAATAAAATAAATTTTATTGGTTTTTGCAATTTACCTTTAAAAGTTATTTTAATAATGTGAATATTAATTTTTTTTTAAGTAGTAAAAGTTACAACATTTATTATTACTAAATAAGTAAATAAATAAATAAATAAATAAATGAATAAATAAATAAAAATAAATAAAAAAAATAATAATTGTAATTATAACAATAATAGAACAATTTTTAAAAAAAGAATTTGAATCGATAAACTGTTAAATGTTTTACAACAGCTGAAATTAAAAAAAAATGATGGTAAACACGTTTTATAGTAAAATATAAAATAACAAACTTTTTTTTAATAACAATTCACTGAACTTCAAATTGAAATGGGATATTTTATTAATCAATCGGCTTATAAAGAGAAGAGTTATTTGGTTTCGAATAATCTGCTACTAAAAAATTGTAAAATGCATGAAATTTATAATACATTTTTGATGCACTTTAATGCACTTAATTTTGTAATTATTTAAGTTATGTAATTGTATAATTAAATTTTTTTATATTGACAAAGTATACTGAATAATATTTATATAATAATAAACAACTAATTTTTAAGAATAAATAATTTTTTAGAATACATAATTTATTTTGAAAAATAATAAGAAGAAATAGAATTGTTTAGAATAAATAATTTTTACGAATAACTAATTTTTTCGAGAACAAATAGATTTTTTTTTGCGCAGGTAAACAATTTGCTTTAAACTCTCGCAGTAATCAATATTTTTCGCAATAAAAAACAAAATTTATATTTCTGTTAATGAAAATATTTTTTTTTTAAAATCAAGTTTACCCAAAGAATATTGCAGAAAATTTTACTACCATTTTTTTTATAGATTGGCGCTCAATTTTACAGACGCGTCTTTATGTACAATTTTTTATGTACATGTACATTTATATTTTTATGGATTCTTTTTTATTAGACTATTCCGTCGAGATATTTAATAAATATACTCTTTTTTTTACAAGAATTTTAACAGTTACAAACAACTTTAACGGTAAATTTTACAAAAAAAGGATTATTACCATGAAGATTAATTTTTTTTTTTTAAATAAAGTGGAGACAAAAATTTTACTCTTTTCCAAAAAATTTTCTTTAAGGAAAAAAATAAAAATGACTGACACAATTTTTATCTTCTGGGAAAAAATGAATTTTATAATATTGACAAATTGAAAATTACCCATGAACCATCGGCGAGTTTTCGAAAAAAATTTCCTGTTGGTATAGTTAATCCTGAAACTGATTTCCGATTTAGCTGAAATGAAAAATTGGTAGTTTTTTTATATTTTTTTTATTTCTTTGATAGGAAAAGGAGTAGATAATTTTTGAAAAATAAAAAGGAAAATTTAAATATAGTTGATTTTTTCTGTGCAATTTTTACATCGGATCCATGGGAGCTTTGAGTGTTAGACAATCTGTCCAATGCAGATGATCCTCTCGGCGATTTTCCATGAACCTCGTCGCGATTTATGGCCTTTGAACTTGACATTTTTCTCGTTTAAAGGTTATTATTATTTTCTAAGCAATGAAACCATAAACGATCTGCAACTAAACGGCAAAAAAATAAATAAAAAACAATCGAATATAGCAAATTTTATTTTACAAACGAAAAAATGCTACAGAAAAGAACCGTTGTTTTCTGCCAAGTAAAAAATCATTTTTTTTTCTCACAGGAAAAAAATATTCTTTTATTCCTCTTCTTCTCTTCATCTGTAATATTTTCTTCTTCTTTTATTACAACAAAACTTTTCATCATCGTGAATCTTAAATCGTCCTACGAATTATATAAGTTTCTGATTACGTCAGAGTTGATGAAAATTAGCAACAACAAAAAAAGGGAATTCTTTTTTTTAATTAGCTACATAAGTTTTGATATTCATATTTAAAATAAAACTTTCGAGCATCTGCATATACATATATATATAAACAGTGTAGAGGAGTTTATAAATGTACTTTGTTTATAGACTGCGCGCTTTATTTATTTACGATCCGGCGACTAGAAAAAGTTGTTTTCTGCTTAGTAAATCTTTCCATAAATTTATTAACTTTTTACCCAAACATAATATTCCAGTGTATAGAACTTTTCAAGCTTTTCTCTCTCTTATCGTATATAGTAAGTTCTTTCACAGAGAAAATTTATAATATACATATATATATATATAAATTTCCTCACTTGGTATTGTCATATTCAAAAACGTTTCTTCATATAAATTCTCTCCTCCAAAAACTTTTGTTTTATTCGCGAAATATAAACGCCTTTTATTTTTATGCTAATTATATAACGATATGGACTTTTCTCATTTAGAATATCTGAATTATTCATTATAAATATAATTTTTCTGATTGTTTATATTGTTGGAAATGTTGTAAATATATTCGAATTAATAGCCACCCGTGTAAATATACTCAAATTAAATTTAATATCTAGAGAAATTTTATGTAGGGGAGACCGGGGCTAAACCGGACAAGCAGGGCTCGAACCAGTGAAAGTATTTAAAAATACGGACTTTACGGACCAAAAATGAAAAATTACGGACCATTTACGGACCAATTACTGGCAAAAATATATAAGAGAACATTTTACTTAAAACTATAAATTAGATTTTTTCATAACTAAAAAACATGAAGATATCGATAATAAGCGATCAATTACTTCATGTTTTATAATAATTAAAGATAGAGTGATAAAATCATTATCAATTCAATTATTATTTTCAAGAATTTTTAACTAAAATTCTTCTTAAAATCGATTATTTTTAATAATTTTCGAAAAAGTTTTTTGACAATTTTCAAATCCATTTCTTTACAATATTCAATTTTACGAAATTTCAATTATTTGTAAATTCTTCAATTAAATATGTATTAGAAAATAAAAACTTCAAATAATATAAAAAAAAAATTCGCAATTAAAATTTCTCAAAAAAATTAATTCCACAGAATTGTTACTTAGTTAAAAATATGAAAAATTCAAATTTTCAAAGATTTGAATCTGAAACCTTTTCAAAATTTAATTATTTCTAAAACTTTACGCTCTAATACTTTTAATATTCAATTATAATCTAAAATTTTAACTGAAATCCATTTTTAAATCAATTTTTATGAGAAAATTCTACGAGAATTTCATTATTTAAAAACAAAAAAAACAATTTATTGAATAATTACATATGAATTATTACATTGAATTCTTTTAAAAAATTGTATCAAAATAATTGAATTCCTAATAAGAATTTTATTATTTGCCAAAAAAATTAAATACCTGTAAAAATTTTATTATTTATGAAAATAATTGAATATTGCGAAGAAATTTATAAAAAAATTTGTAAATAATGAATTTCCTGTAAAATTTTTATGATTTTTTGAAAATAATTAAAAGTTTGTGTAGAATTTTATTAATTTTTTTTAAATAATTGAATTCTTTTGGAAAATTTTACTAGAATAGTATAGATACCTATTAAAAATAATTGAATTGAGGAAAAATTTTTAAAATAATTGAAATTTTTCCAAGAATTTTATTAAAATTTTTGAAAATAATTGATATTTTACGGACTTCAAGCAAAGTTACGGACTTTTACGGGATTTACGGACCTAGTTCGAGCCCTGGACAAGTCAAATATTTCCGAAACCGTGAAGAATTTCAAATCGTGTAAATAACCTATGAACGCGCAATTTCGTGATGCATATGCTGCATGAGGTTTTAGGGACGTGTCATTTTTCTTGTAATAATAGTTGCCGTTAATGTGTGAAAATGTCATTTTTCGAGGTAAAAGTAAAAAATTTTTTTTCTCATTTTTTTGGGGTTTTTATCGTTATAATTAAAGTGCAAATATCATACGGCAATTTTTCTTATAGCCCAAGGTGTACTGAGTTTAGTAGAAAAAAAGTTTAATAAAAAACGTTAAGAAGGAAAAATATATTGCAGGTTAATTATTAGATGACGATGTGGGGCTGAATCGGACATCGTGATAAAAAAACAACCAAATCTTTGAATTCTTTAATTTATTTTATATTAATTAACTATTTTATATTATATTCTTTGCGTAGAACGACTTTATAAATAAATAAATAAAGAATTTATTTTAAAACTCGAATTCGCAAGCGAGTTGTTACAAACAGACAAGTCTGAAAACAGTAATTCATTTTATATTATATTAATTACCGATTTTACATTTTATATTATATTCTTTGTATAGAACTATCTACAAATAATTAAATGAAGAATTGATTTGACTTTTCTACAAAAAAAACGAAAATTTGTGTCTCATTCTTTAATGAATTAGCCGTGTCCGATTTAGCCCCATGGGGTGTCCGGTTTAGCCCCACCAATTTTCGGATTTTCGTTTTTGAGGTAGTCACCTTTGAAGCAATATATCTCCAAAGCTACTGTAGTTTTTTAAAATCGAACAAGTGCGATTTGTACACTACCGGTGAAAATTGAGAGACCACCCATTTTCAGGCGAATGAAAAACGTTTTAAAACATAAAATTTATTGAAACTAGAATTTTTTCTGTTCATTTTTTGAAAGATGTTAAAATTTTGAAAAGAACAAGATATTTTAGAATTCGTTTGGCCAATAATTTATTTAGATATTTTTAAAAAATCGTCATTTTCAATGTTTTACAAAAATTTGAATAACTTCTAAAATAATGAACGTTTTTTAATGATCTTAGGCTTATTTTAAAGGTCATTTGCTACACTACAAGAATTACTTATATGCATTAACGTATAATTTTTTTCTTAGAAAATGCAGGCCATCAAACTTGGACCAAAAAAATTCAAAAAATTTGAAACAATCTTATTAACAGAAAAATAATTTTTAAAATTCAAACGTATTTTTTTTATTAAATTTTCTTGAAAACTCTACACCATATGATGTTTTATATATTTTCTAGAATAGTTTTTAGTACAGAAAAATTGTACCAAATTTTTTGAATTTTTTTGGTCTAAGTTTGAAGGTCTGCATTTTCTAAGAAAAAAATTATACGTTAATGCCTATAAATAATTCTTATAATGTAGCAAATGACCTTTAAAATAAGCCTAGGATCATCAAAAAGCTTCCATTATTTTAGAAGTTATTTAAATTTTTGTGAAACATTGAAAATGAGGATTTTTTTAAAATATCTAAATATAATATTGTCCAAATGACTTCTAAAAGATCTTGTTCTTTTCAAAATTTTATCATCTTTCAAAAAATAAAAAGAAAATAATTTTCTATTTAGCGAATACTTCAGGGTTGCCACAGGTCAGGGAAGTCAGGAAAAAGTCAGGGAAAGTAAAATTGGTCAGGGAAATCAGGGAAAAGTCAGGGATTTTTAGTAAAAGTACTGGAAAAATAAATTGAATTTTTGAAAATTCATGAGAAAACTCTGAATTTTTTGCCTCGTAAACCATGAAATGACCACGAATTTTAATACAAAACCTTCAATTTTTTCTATTTCTGACAATAATTTCTTTTTAAATGTAACTTAATTTTTCAAAAAGTATCATAAAATTATGACTTATAAATTATTTAATGAATAAAGAGATGAATAAATAGAATAATGAATAAAGATTTTTATAAAATTCGTCGCAAAAATTGAATTATTTAAAAAAATTTAACACAATTCTTTTCAACAATTCAATTATTTTTATAAATATTAAAATTGTTCGCAGAAATTCAATTATGATAAAAAAAAATTCTTGTTAAAATTTCAAGTACCTTTATAAATAATAAAATTCTTTTACGAAATCCAATTATTTTAGAAAAATTTTAATAAAATTGTTGGGATAATTTAAATTAATTTCATGAATTATAAAACTCATCGCAGGATTTTAATTATTTTTGATATAATATTTTAATCGAATTTCTCGAAAAATGTAGGGGAACATAGTCGAGGTCGGCCCACTTTTTGACTTTTGTTTATAACTTTTTTTTAAAAATGAATTTGGACAATTGAAGTATGTGGTTGGAATGTCCTGTTTAATAGGAACATCTTTTCTATACAAAGTAAATTGATTGGTTTTAAAATGAAAAAGTTATAAAGATTTTAAAAAAAAAAAATTTGTAGACGAGGTTGGTCCTTACAGTCAAGGTCGGCCATGTTTAAAATTCAAAGGGCATTAATCGTTAAAAAATAAAATAACATGTTTGGAGTTACGGAAAATTGATTCTTTATTGTTTACAGCTTGTAACTTAATGAAATAACAAAATAAAAAAAATAAACAATGTAAAAAAATAAATATAAATAAAAAAAAATTTTGCACTGAAATATTAATAAAATTAAATAAAAATATTAATAAGATGATGAATTATATTATGAGTTATACAGAATTGCAGTTTTTGCAAATGAAGTAGCTCGTCCTCATCTTTGCGCATTTTAAACACATAGTGGCCGACCTTGACAGAAAGTAACATTACCGAATTGTTGTAACCAAAAAGAAATACGTTTCGCGATTCGATTTTTCACTTTGATTTTCTTTCAACAATGAGTTCCACAAAATTTCTGCATGCTT